CACTGCAGGGATACTTGGTGGTTGGGCACTGCAGAAATACTTGGTGGTTGGTCACTAAAGTCAGCTTCCAGTCGGGCGAGGACAACATCTACTTTAAAATCTAACAACCCCACTGCGAGGGTGGGGAATAAAGCAGCCCAGCAACTCGAAGAGCTGATTCCGCCATCGCTTGTGCCAGTGGGAGGGCACCTGGTTTCTTTTCTTTTGGCGGGAAGCACTTCAGGATTTGGGTCCAGGCCGCTTCCTAATGTTGCATGCCCACAAGTCTGACAAGGTAACGAACGTGCCGCTTCTGTTTTCGAATGGCCATCAGTAGCCTTGCAGCATGAGCTGCACTTCACGGCCATCGCTACTTCAAATCACACTTGAGTCATAATATTCAGTTTCTCATAAACTTCTGATTAACTCGGATAATTTTGCAGACCCACTGAATTGCTGCCCAAATGCTAGCCTCTCCTCTCCACGCTCTGACAGCGATGCAACACCTGCCAAGTTGGGATCTGGCTGGCTAAAAGGGGTTGACATGGCATCCTGCTGCTTGCTGCGCTGAGGATTTTCACCTTTGAAGATCATGACTTCTTGCCTGAGCGCATACACGCGCCTAATTTATAGGTGTGCCTGTGCACTTCAAACTCGTTTCTATCACTCCGCATTTTTGTGTACGTTGATGTTTCTATTCTATCCAGTGGAGACTCTGACACACTGACTGATAGATTTGGATTTGCGTGTGTGCTCGGGGGCTGTACGGCTTGCCTTCGAGACCGTCACCACACGGCCCAACAGCTAAGCCAGCTCTTTAGGTCTTTGAGCTCCCCACCTAATTTCAAGGCTCAACTACGCTGAATTTGGAAGAAGAAGGCCACAACATGCTACAGTACCCCTGCTGCCTTCTTATCAAGCTTTTGAAGCCAGCATCTGCGAGCCTCCCAGAGTGCGGCTCATGCGCTGCTCCTTCTCCACTCGCGAACGCCTCCTGCAAGCACACACTGCAGTTCTAAGGCACGGCTTACTCTCGACTTTAAAGCTTCGTCCTCTCTTCCACGCGCTCCTCTCTTTTTCGATCTTCGTCCTCCTCCTAGAGCCGGCTGAGGAAAAGCCGGGTAAGTGATGAAGTGATCCGTTTTGAGCTAGCAGCAATCCCATTTCGCAATTTCATCTTTCGTTATGGAGGCAAATTCTCTTGAGCTGGCCTTCTCCTGCTTGACCTCGGCCAGTGTGACCTCCAGCTTCATGTGCCCCACAATGTGCGTCTCATGCAACACCCATTCCTGGGCGACTGTTTCACAACCATGGTCGAGATGTCAAACCTGACAGTCGGCCAATCTGCAAGAGTCACATAGCGAGAGAGCTGTGTTGTTGTGCTGTGCTCACAAAATCTGACACATATGTCTGGGCGATGCCTTGCAAAACAGTTAACACTTGCAGACAAAGTCTGCGGGGGGAAAAAAATGCGTGCGCGGTCGGTATGTCTGTGCAGAGTGCAGCGCCAATCGGAAAGTACTCGTCCGAAGGTTATGTGAGCTGAGGCCCGGTCTTTCATGCTCTCTTCCTTGGCTGCCAGGCCCTAATCGTATGTGCGTCCGGATGTCTGCGCGGCGACATGTGTCTAAAACACAATGTGATGCCAGTTCAGCAGAGCCATTCACAGCCTGTGCTGAATCGGGGCAGGTAAGCAAGACCTAGATGCCTCCCAGGATCCGTAATCGGCCGACCCTCATAGTAGCCTTCTGGCCTGGGTACTTAACAGGTCAGCTTTAAGATCTTTCTGACAGATGCCCTTGCCAGACCATGCCAGACCTGCAGCTTGTGCACACAAGGCACTCTCAGCTCCCCGCCTCATCGCAACGAAAGCGACTCCGCGGGATTTCTTGGTCCGCTTGTCGATGAGCACGTTACAGGAAAGCACGTTGCCGAAGGTTTGAAAGTGCCTTGGCCAACCATCTTGGCAGCCGCAACATGAAGCTCAAAAAATGCCAGCTGTGGCATCGAAGCTGCTGCACAAGCCAACTCCATCAGTTCCCACATGATTTCAGCTAGATACTTATCTGCACATGGAAGCCAAGAAGCTCTTCCAACTCCGATGCTGGAAGCAGGCCGGCATTCTTGACGATGAAACGAATGCCCTCCTGAAATTACCAGGGAGATCCCAGTCCGATCTACACATCACAACAGTGCTTGCTTACCTAGAACAAGACCTGACATATCACAGCGTTTCTAGCCAGCGCAAGCATGCTCGTCCACCGCAGGCAGTAAAGCTTACATGTGGGCCAGTCTAATCTGTTACCACCTAAGTTGCCATGGCTGCGCCTGCTTCTTTTCATTCTTCGGCTCCTTGGGCTTCCGCTCCCGGCTCCTGAAATCGCGAGAAGCGTTGCAACACTGGCTGTTACTTGCACTGGCAAGCCTTTCACAAACCTCACTCCCAAGCAGAGCAAGAGCAATTCAACCATGCGCCCACTAACATATTCTGCAAGCTGAAAAACCTGCAGGCAACGTGCATGGACAACATTAGCATTGCAAAGATCTCAAGTGCCTGCTACGGCTTCGATCCCGCGCATCTTCCCAAAGACGCCTCCCGGGATAGTGGCGATGATAATGATGATGCGGCTTCTGACAGCGATAGTAGTAGAAGGGTGTGACTGCCTGCTTCAAGCTTGACGGGGAATTGACACAACAGCAACGAAAGACCAACCTCCTGACATGAGTCAGCAGCGCCCGGAAGATGCCCAACTCTGGAAAATTCTCCTTGACTGTCCGGATGAGGGAGCAAGCGCGACTGACGTCTGGTTGAAGATTCTGACGTATGAATGTCCCGGTTTTATGTATGCAGTTGTGGAAGTTGTTGCTTGCGCCAAAAACTTGATTCAGGCTGAACATGGAGCTGTTTTACTTACATCCGGGCTCGTGTGGCAGGAGAGCCAGCATGAACACAGACACAAAAGCATTTTTGAGAGTCACTCGGGAAAAATCCAGAAGCAACAACCTCTCAACGTCTACAATCACAAGCAGAACCCCAGACCTTCTGCTTGCCACATATGCCACATCTGCAAGCAGGGAGCAAACACTTTCTGCCACGGAGCTCTGAGGGCCTTTGAATGAAGGCACAGATTGCAATGGCAACTGTCTAACAAGTGGAATGAAATGTGAGTGCGGACCTACAACATGTTGTAGCGTTCCGCTAGACTCCACTGCTTGGTAGCTCCGGCTTTTGGGGCCCCAGCCCGCGCCCCTGGCCGCAGCACTTCGGCATAGGCAGCCCGTGACAGAAGAGTCACAAACTGCCTGAGGGGTGATAGCTGTAGAAAGGAACACAACGCGAAATATCGAGAAATTGCCTGCTTAGGCAGATGCAAAAAAAGTTTTGTTGGGTCTCTACAGTCAATGCACTGTTGGCCACCATCATGAAATTCGCTACTTAGAGCTCTCGACATTACGAACGAGGACTAGGAGAACCCCAAGCAATATATCCTGTGCACAAAAAAAACAGCGAATTCCGGACAACCCTCTAACACCCCTCCTCCTCCCCCAAAGCGGTTTAAAGTGCAACCTGTTCTCTAAAATAGATTGAGCCAGGACAAAATACCAAACACAAAAAGATGTTTTAAGATGTCTTAACATGTTCTAAGTTTTAACCAGCAAGATGTTGACAAAATCATGCTCTGATCATTTCTCCTCAAGGTACCAGTTTGTGCATATTGAAATCCGAAAAAGATGTTGAAAGCGTGCGCTTTCACGGACGCCTGGCCACCATATCTGAAAATTCTCTCTCCCTCTAAAAACTACCTTCGACCGACCATGCAAAATTCAGGGGTGGGGGCAAGGGGTCAAGAGTTTGCTGTTGAAAGAAATGGATTGCCTCAACAGCGACAAGTTGCGCCTTAGCCTGTGTAGGTTTCGTGTCAGGAATGCCGCCAAGAGGCCCCCTCTTGGATCGATCCGCTGCTTCGAAAGCTTTGCGAAGCCACGGTGATCTTCAAGGGATGGAAAGGCAAGATATAGCGGTGCGGATGGATCGCAACAGTCTCATATTACCAGACACGGTATCTTCGTTGAGCTTTCAAGGTCTCAAAGAAGCATCAACTAGTGCCAGGGTCCCAATCGGCTCAGCCATTGTGAGGTTTAGTGACTCTTCACAGCTGCCGGAACCTGTACTTCTGTTACAAGGAAGGGCCGGAAGGGCCGGGATACAAGTGCTCATAAGTGGAGGTGGTATATTGAGGCTGTGTGGAATCAGTCAGGACTTGCACCTATGAGTGGGTCCAGAGAGTGAGCTTGCTCTTGCAAGATTTACACCATCAAGGTCAATATCCCAACGTCTCTCTTCTGCGCCCTGCGCGCCCGAAAAAATTCACCACGGATGACGCATCGTTTGCGTCGAACCAATCCTCAGGACGATTTGCATTGTTGGCTTGGGTGTCTGGGCTTTTACGGCTTCTCTTGGCGTGTTGATGTTTTTGGGCCAGCTTGGAAATTGCAACGAGATTCACAGGTTCCAAGCTCGCGCAACTAGTCATTTTTTGACGCTCAGGTCCCTCGATTTGAAGATGCAGACCGCGCCATTGCACCACTTCGCACTGCTCAAGGCTTGTAGATCCAACTCCAAAAGGGGTGTAGTGCTGAACGACTACGTTCTAGCCTGGGAAGCTCTAGGACTCTAGGAACTCCAGTCTGAACATTGACTACCAGGGCCCTTCCGCAAGTAAGGAGCTTTGCATGACGGATCACTGAGTCCCATTCTGCAGGTCGAGCATTACAACCAGGAGAGTAGACTCTAGGCATTTCGAGCTACTCGAATCCTACTAAACACTCAACCACCATCCCATCAGTAAGCTTGTACTGGGCTGATCATTAATTGAAATTCGATCTTGGCATTTACTAGGATCCCAAAATCATGATGAATGGACACCCTGTTAGCCATTGCCAAGGAAAACAAACCCCCTCCAAGTCTGATCCGGGAAGCTCTCAGCAGCACATGCGGCACAATTCCCGACCACGCGGGGAGGTAAGGACCGCGAGTTACTGCCTCATGTTGCTAACAACTCTTTTGACACCAAACGTGCGTTGCGGGGCCAAGCGGGGCCAATTTGCTGGTCCTACGAGGATTCTTCACAGCTCAGTGTCAAAATCAGACCCGAGAGACTCCGAAGGCTTCAAACGTGTTTGGTTTCAGTGGTGGCGGCGCAACCACAGTATCTCCATGAAACTGTGAACCCACTCTGACATTGAAGCACGCACGCGAGAAACCTTCTGAGTAGGCTCCCAGCATTCCCACGAAGCATCGGCGGGCAGTTGCCTTGCGCTTAGGAATTGAGTTTAAAGCACTGACACGAACATACCTCATCTTTTGAGTGGCTTCTATCGGAGTGCATTCATTTATGCGACTTAGACAGCAATTTCGACAGCCAACGTGATGCACCCAGTGTTGCAACAATTTGAGCGGCGACGCTCTTCGGACATACTTACTAGGATGACAGTGGGAAGCTCTTGGGGACAGCTTTGTCCGGGACCTCTGGCTCGCACACCCGGCCTTCGCACATGAATCCCACCACGGCCATTAGCAGTCGGGTAGCCTCTGCGAAGGCAGCCTTCCCTGCATCCTGGTTCCAGGTGTTGCATTGCAGAATCTCATAGCAGCCATAGCACGAAGAATGCTACAGCCAGCAGGCAAGTAAACTCGCTTTGCCTGCCGCGCGGTTTCCGGCACATCGCAGCCTAGGAGGGCGGCCGACCTGGCATCGGCTTTGGGCGAACACATATTTGGAAGAGTGCAGGGTCTGCGCAGCGCCTGTTGTCCAGGCTTGAGCCATCAATTAACACACTCCGTGCACGGCTCAACTTCTGCGAGCATGCGTAGTAAGCGCGCTTGCAGGAGCGCCTGTTGGCATATGCAGAGACGAACTTTCAAACACCAGATTCCACGCATTGCCACCCCGAGGCCTCCGGAGAAATACCATCTCGTCCGCTTCATCCCGATAGCCGCCAGCCTGCACAGGCTGTCATCAAGAGAGGACCCGAGTCCTCGCCCTGCTCTCCCTGCTGTCCTCAGGCTGGGTGCCCGGATAGCCTGCAACAGCGTTCACCGAGCTCGGGAAACAAGACTTCCTCATTACTGAATAGGCTAAGGCACCAAGTAGCCAAGCTGAGATAGTGCAGTGCTAAAACGTGTCTGCACAACAAATGCTGCATGCTGACCCATCCAACCAGCTCCGTGCTGGCTTCTGAGCGCGCAATCTGTTTTGCAGGTTGCACCGTCCAACTTCTTTGACTTCAAGGATGCTCTGGCATGGAGAAAACAGAGTTCGGCCACCAAGTTGGCATTGCTGACACTTGTGAAGTTCCTGCCTGGCACAGCTCTGAAGCTGGGCGAAGGGAACCAGGTGGCATCGCCCAGGACGTCGAAGGGGTCCGCCCTGGAAGCATCAAAAGGACCCAACAATCTGCTAAAACACCCAACTGAACTCACCTGCTAAGTGCTGTGTCTTGTCTGATGAGCATCCCAATTGACCTCCTTAAAGTGCCCAGTCACTTCCAGGTGCTGGGGGCAGATGGAGACGCGGGATAAGCCTTGCTGCTCAGGTGGATGCAGCATCACCTCACCTAGATATAGGAGCTTGAAACTACTTGAAAAATGCTTCCCGGACTACTCGACATGCCTGACACCCCAGCTAACCAAAACGATCCGAATACACATTTTCTCCAAAACCAGGGTGAGCGTGCTTTCATCTCTCAAAGTGGCTGCCGGGGGCTGCAGAGGCACCGCGGTCGCACCTGTGAAGGCCCACTTGGAGCTCAGGCTCGCGATTGAACCTATCGACTCCATTTACCAAACCGTTCGCGCCTCCCATTCGTGCCATCGGCGACTGCGACGGAGGAACCACATGGGGCACCGCTCCTGTCGCCGTCACATGTCCCGACAGTCGGGGACGCTCCCCAGGCCTTGAGGTCGCATTCCAGGTGGAGGCCCCTGACAAACAGAGGTCAGACTGCAATAGCTCCGCCGCAAGCCTGGCCTACATTCCAGAGTGTAGGACCAAGTTCAAGAATTTGCCGAATACCGTGCAGTCAAAACCCTTGCCCAAGGGAAAACTCAGCAGACCAACGCTTGTTTTACAATACTGGCAACTTTGCATGAGCACTCAAGGTGCACTCCGGCCGGCAGCCTGGTGATGCCACATCGCCTCTGGGATGACCGCTTCCCAAAAGAGTTGAGTTGGTGCTTCCGGGAACTCTTGCAGGGAACTCGTATACGGTTCCACAACTGCTTTCTTACTGCTTGTAGCGCTGACAAATGTCACCGGTTTTGCAGGGGCTCCTGACTCAAAGCATCCCGAGCACAATTCCCTCATGCCTGGGTTTGTGCGTCGTAGCCATAGCCGTCTTGTGGCCACATGGCGCGAGAGGCTAGGTGATGCTGCACGTGCAACTCTTGAGTATACCGTCAGTACACAAGACTATGGATTTTCCAGAATGGGTCTGGCTTCAACTTGGGGGATCCTGCTTGAAAGGCGTGCACGTCGCCCACGTCGCCCACGCTGTGTAACTTGAACGGAGCTTAATTCAATGCCTCTGCTGAACCTACGTATCCGCGCATCACCGAAACCTTGCATGTTGCTAGCGCATGTGTTTTGTCAACCCGTTTTGGGGAAGCTCGTGTCTGAGCCAAATGGCTGCAGGCAAAACGCAATCAAACAAAAGTGCAAGTTCGTCCGGCCCACAAAGAAAGTCAGATTGCCATCGACAGGCTAAGTCAAACGATTGCCATGATGCTGAAGGAATCCCTGCTTGCTGCAATTGTTGAGCACCGGAATGGGTTCAGGACAAATTGGACATGTGCCCATTCCAGACCTGTCTGAGTTCCAGTTTGAGAAGATGAGAACACTTATCTGCTCTCCGGCCATTGCACGGCCAAGCAAAACCTTGAACATCCTGGCGCCTGAGAAGCACTGCTACGTAAGTCGTCCGCTGTACGAGGCCTGATGGATGTATGATGTACAAGACACTAACATCTAATTTTCTTGGCTGGCTTGATGCTTCCCTTTTGCTCTGCTTCGGAGCACGACGAGGTAACTGCCGCCAGGCCTAAAGGCTTGCTCCAGCCGGTCAAGATTCGGCTCTGGTTAGCGAGGCTCAGGTGCTTCAGGGGGGGCTCCACTAACGCGGCAGCTGGAAAGTAGAACATAAACATGTGCCCCAAACTGAGATAATTATGTGCAAAGGTCCCCAGGCCCCTCTGATCGACTCCAAGCTGTAGGAGAGCTGCGATCCCTTCGTTCACACCAAACGAAAATTGGTGTTTCGCTCTCGGGCCCTCTCTGACGTTGACAGGAGACAAGTAGTCAGTAGCAGTCTACACCCAGTATCGCTGGACTGTTCCCAACAGCTTCAAGAATCTCCCAATCTGTGGCAGGGCGGCTTCCGCCGCAGCACTTCTGGCGACATGTGGGTGACCGTACCCACCTTGTCTGTGAAGATCTGATTTGGCCTGGCCACAGACCCACAAGACGATTAACATCCATCTTACCAGGAATCGGAAAATCATCACGACGACAAGTCAACGGTTGAGTGGCAGCTCCCAGCATTCCATCACCTCCAGTTATTTCGAAGGCTGCCGAGGCACTTGAAGTAGCACGAGAGGCCAAAGTCTGAGACCTTGAGAAGCCTCAATTGACTCAATTGGGCTTCTAGGGCGACGGGTGTGTGGATGTTGATCACTCAGGAGGGTGGTGCAGTGCTTGGATCTCCCTGAGCTGCAACAGTTCGACCAGTGCGCGACCCTGTGATCCAGTCCAGTCCATACAGGGCTACGCGGGTGAACATTCTGAAGCTTCAAAACTGAACATGGCGCCCGGCGTCTTCCTGATGGAATCATCTGTAGACATCAGCACGTTCTCCGCCTTTCAGCTTACGAACAGCACGCGCTCCAGGTGGAAAGACAACAGATGGCGGCAAAAAGCACGTCTGAACTATTCAGTTGAGGTGGTTCAATACAGTCGTGAACGTTAAGACATGTCAGTTGCCTTCTGCTGCCTTGCTTGCACGGCTTGAATACAAGAAATAGCGAAGTTCAACTGTAGGACTTGCACCTTCAGGTCCCGATGGCAGATCTGATTCCTGCGGCTCTGCAGCTTTCAATGAGAATTGCTTTCAAGAGGCTCTGTTTACTTAGACCAGGCAGCTATGTTCACTGTAAGGTGCCCTCTTGCACAATATTAAAGATCAAAGAAGTGATGGCGCGTAACATGAGCAAAGCTCTTCAGCCTCTTCAGCCTAGACCCGGCATCGGCTTTACCAACTGTCACTCAACTAGCCGCTTGAAGGCCCTGGTCATGTGACAGGCCCTTGTTGTGCCAGTGCTATCGTCCTCTTGTGTTGTTTACCTCCCGTAATTAGTCTCAAATAGTGTATATTCGACAGCTGTGGTACTGCAACTTCTCGGATCAACAATCTAGGCACACTCAACAGCAACTGACAGTTCTCTTCGAACCTCCACAAATCCCGGAGACCCTCGTCGTAGCAGCTGCATCTGTCAGTTTTCAACACCTATGAAGCGAGCGCTGAATGCGGTAGCAGCAGCAACTTCCAATGCACCCCCTTATTCTGGCGGTCGTGTGCAGGTAGTAGACGGCCCGCAGGATCTGCTGCATGGCTATGGCTGTGTGCTCCTGCAACATAAGCATGAGAGGCACGGTAGCACAGACATGGTGGAAGAGTGGACACTATTGCACAGGTGCAACTGAAGTCACGTAGATCTCAACTACTTGTCAAGGGGCGTGGTCCTGCAACGTGATCACGCGTGCAACACTGTCAAAGTGCTCAAAGAGTGAGGCCTCTGTCATGCGGCCATACGTTCTGACTCGGCCCATCAGAGTGCCTGGCTGTCTGCATGTGTTTCGGTCCTCCTAGATACTTCTCTCCCTGGCTGGCGGAGCCCTGTGACCAAGTATGCATACCTTGCAGACCACTAACGCAACACAAATACACATGTCACGAGCTCTAATAATTCTGGTGCATGTAGCTGAAGCTTGCTGTCTTCCCCTTCCCTAACAACTGTGGTCTAGACTGATATCACTGTTCCAGGGCAGCAGACTCCAAACCAAAGAAGCGCCTCCAGTGCACAGCTCCATGACGAGCAGCACATGCCTGGCAAGACTGGTCTGTGGCAGCAGTACAAGTCCACACTGCCTTGCTTTGTCAAAAATTCTAACTTGCCACATGATAGGTTCGGAGGAATGTCTTCCAAATCTGCCAAAGGTTCTGGTTATCCAGGCTTCTCTCTGCAAGAGCTTTGCTGATCCCAAGGACGTCTGTGATCGGTTTGGGGACCGTGCTTCGGATCCTCGAAGATTTCGTACAGCATAACGATGTTGGGATGATCCACGGCCTGGGCAAAAAGACATCGGGCACCTCAGCCCTTCTTGTCTTGCTGCCGGTAATGATGCGGCACAACCTTGACGTCTTGAGGGTGGCTTATGTTGCACCTATTTGCATGTAAAGATCATCTTTCTCGTGCTTCAGCGTCCCCTTAAAGAGGTTCAGGCCACATTGCGCTTCGGTTTTGGAGCTCTAAGCGAATCCAGACGATTCCCTTTAACATACTTCCCACAGCACTAAGAATCGTGGGAGCCTTACCGAGGACCCAACTTCTAGTTTTCTGGGGCCCTGTTCTTACAAAAGGCGAGATTATATCACACATCAATTGGGGAGAATATGCATCTCCCGACGTAGACACTGCATCAGGGAGAATATGCATCATTGGGGATATTACACCTCACTGGATGCAAGCCCCAGGGAGACGCTGTGTCTTGAAGAGCTGGACAGGTGTAAAAATGCCGCTTTGGAAGACGCCAACGCTTGCAGTACGTTTCACGTGCATTTTGGCCACCCTACATCAGCAAATCCCCAAGGAGACGCTGTGTTTGCAAGAGCCGGAAAGAGTGTGAAGACATGTCGCCTACTAGGGGATTTTGCGTCACGAGTCTGTGAGAAGAAATACTGATTTCACAACGCCCTTAGACGCAGACAACCATAACAACGCTAGTAGACCCCAGGATGCCATGAAAAAAAGCAACAAACTGCATGTAGACGCTGTCTGAAAACAGGTTCTTCGTTATGTTATGTTATGTTGTTAAACAGTGGCCACGCCCAAGACATGGCTTCCCCAAGTAGACGCTCAATTGATGCATAGAAAACTGGGCCGATGCAAAACAACCCCACCACTGGTAGGGGGAGGTTTCTAGTTGTTGGAGTGCAAGATTGCAAGCACGGCAGCAAGGAAGGCTGCTGTGAAGGGACTGCTAGATTGGTAGTTTTCCGCCTACAATTGGCTGCTCCTATTCAAATGAGCACTGCTTTTTCTTATAAAATCTCTTTTACTAACATGGAAAGCCTACACAAACTACGCGGAATGGTTGTTTTC